TCAAAAATATTGTGGATTTTTTTAATCTATAAACATTTGAAAATTTATATAATAGATGGTCCAGTTAATACGGTACAAGATACACTACTTTTGGAACTTGAAATCATATTTTCCATATCCTTACATCTCGTGATCGAAATGGTAAGTGGAGAAAACACCTTTCAATAGATTTTTTAAGTGAGCCTTAATTTTATTAGTGTATAAGGTTGACACCTTCTATAAAATTTTTACTTAAAAAATAATTGCCCTTCCCATGTAGTGAACAACTTCTATATTATGTATATTTGAATCAGACAAGAAGAAACATGGAACAAAAACTTATTTTAATCTAAAAATATTGTGAACCTGAATTTTTTTTGCTATTTAAATAAGTAAACTAAACAAGGGATTTGCATATCATGGTTCCATCCAGAAGCCATCCAAACATTTTTGCAGTAACCATCAGTTAGGTAATGAAAATTCACAATGACGTGAATATCTGGAAAATAATATTTGAAAAATCTTCTTTTGAGAGGCTCTTAAATAATTCCTGAAGGTTACTTCATCAATGGCTATCTTTGCCTGTACCATGAACCGAAAGGCCGTTTGAAAGGACTATTTATTGGAGTCAATTGTATACCCCAAGCTCAGGGTTATAATTGAAGGACATTTGACTGATGTTATTAATTTGAACTCCAAAGACCATGATATTTGATGAGATCAGGCAATATGTGGCATATATGGAAGTGATTAATAGAGAGAGAGAAACAAAGAGGTTAACTTATTGGCAAAAGGAAGGGATCCACAGGGTGGCAATGGGTCGGGTCAGGTCCGGGTTGACTTGGACCCAGACCCAACTCAGGTCCGGGATTTTATCCGGACCTGACCCATAGGGTCCAAAACTTGGTCATGAACCCAATCTGGTTCTGGGTCTCACATCCTATTCCCAAATCCGACTCGGGTCCAGATGTTTGGATTTGGACCCAACGTATCAGATCTAAAACTTGGACTTGGGCCTAAACCCAAACCCATATGAGGTCAACCCGTCGAGTTGTCGGGTCGACCAGACTCGATTGCCACCCTCCCATTAGGTAATCTTTGGTTATTCTTCCAGAGCCTCAACTCTTTGTTAGAATCTCATAATACAACAGAGAACTTGTATAAATATATGGTATCAACGGTTATAGATAGACACCACCTATTCTTATTAAAAAATATGTATCAATACCGATGCATATCGATACTGATGTGTATCCATATGATACATGTCCATTCATTAACACTCTCTTAATCCATGCTCAAGGCAGGGGAGGTTAATTTTTGGATAACTGTTTCTAAGTGGACCCTATGCTTGTTTCATTAAATATATCGCTTTTAAGTAGACTAGTCAATAATGTTAGGAAAACCGCGTCCATATTATATATATATATATATATATATATATTGGACTAAAACTAACCACATTTTCGGATGGACGGTTCAGGTTACTTGCCTAGCTTCTAGGTCAATGAAGCATCTGTTGACCTCTAATGGAAGGCCAGTTTGCTATACTGGTTGAGAGTTTAGTGTATTATCCTTTACAAAAGGAAGGCAAAGCTGATTCTCATCTAGCATAGTCCAAGCATGATGTAATCCTAAGAGTTTTGGGTAAGGTGGGATCTCTTTGCTAATCAAGTAATCAAAAATAGAAGTAGGGTGTGGTTTGTATAAGTCGGAGTTCCTAAACAATCAAAGTAAGGTGCGCCTTCAAATAGTGTCGAAAGATGTCGTTTTAAGAGCAAAAGTATTTATGATGGATAGAAAATTTATTTTCATCTCTAATTATGAAATTTCTTGCTTAAAAAATAGTGTATATGAAGCTGATCTATGAACACTTGAAAATCTCGAAAATTGATAGTCCAAATTATGCATTACAAGATGCACTATTTTCAAGATTTGAAGTCCTTTTTTGTTTTTATGTCCATATATCTCAAGGTCAAGATGATCGGATTTGAGGGTATTTTTAAGACTCGAAGTCATTTTTTCTTTTATGTCTATATATCTCAAGGTCAAGATGATCAGATTTGAGGGTTTGCAATTCTTCTGTTGATTTTTTGAGGTGTACCTTAATTTGATTGTTTCTGGCCTCAGCCTTAAGTAATTTTTTTTTTTTTTTCATATATGTAACATCAGATTGGTTAATGGATGAGGGCATTTCTATAGTATATCAAGGTCACATACCCTCATTGCAACTTAATCCCTCAATAACGGATGACCTAGAAAGTTTGTATAACATTGTAAACTTTTGTTTCACATGAAATAATTTTCTATCATTTGTTACATATATGAAACTCTTTTGGATCTCCATATGCATTAGTGGGTAATTTTTTTAATAGATTGAATAAAATTGGAACGTATTGATTCCATGGTGTGCTCCAATGGGGAAAAGCCTCTTGTATTTTTAATACAAATCCCAAAGTGTGTAACGTGTAGGTTCATAAAGGTGAGAAGGAAATGCTAAAGTTTCATGCGTGCACCATCCACTTGATCTAAAATGACACAATTGTAAAATGGCTTTTGAGTCAAAGGAAGGAGAGGACAAAAAGCCTTGACTTTGAATTTGGGGAATGTGAGCCTACAATTCTCTGCCACTCATTCAACGAGTGGGAATAAAACTTCCAAAATTGAATATATTTCTGCACGATGATAGCAATGTGAAAACCGCAGCACCAGTTGTCATTTGAATGATTATCTCCCGTTTGTCATTCAAACCTTTTCATTAAAGAGCTCGCAGCATTTATAGTTTCCCATTTTTTAGATTATTTCAAAAAAAATAAGAAAGTTTACCTTAAAATATAAAATTATTGATGCACCTAAAAAATCCATCCAAAATGTAATGTTGTTTTAATGGTAAAAAACCCTCCAATGGATCACCTCGATATTGAGATGTATGAATATGAAAAAAAAAAAAGATTTTGAATCTCGAAAATAGTGCATCTTGCAACACGCTATCTAGGCCAGCCATTTTCAAGATTTTCATATATTTATAGATCAACTTGATTTTAATCATTTTTTAAGTTTAAACTTTTATAATTAGACTTGAAAATAGATTTTGTGATATTCTTAATAATTTTTTATACTAAAATTATATGTTATTATTAAATTTGGAGATGCGCCCCGATTGGATTGTTTAAGGTTGCAACCTTTTAGAAACCACACCCTTTCAAAAATATTCCCCGTCACAAGTTGATTTTTTAAAATATATTTTACTCCTATTTTTTTAACGTTGTTTTGATGTGTTTTGCTTAATCTTACTTTAAACATATATTCCTTTTTTTATTATTTTTTTATTTTTAAACCTTTTTTTTGTTGCTAAGTGGACTAGGCCTGGTTATTCGGACTTAATCCAAGTACTTGGATTGGGCATGGGCCGAGTACTTGGCCTAAGTAGTGGTTTCCAACACTAATCAAAACTCTCGTCCTTCTGTCCTCAATTCTTGTCAAACTCAATGTTCGACCACAGTTTCGAGTACTCTTGCGAGCCAAAGTTTCTCCAAGTCGGGCGTCCCACTCGGGGATACTAAAAAAAAATTAAAATTTTAAAAAAATCCCAAAAAAATATAAGGAATTTTATCGTGATATGTTTTTTATATTTTTGTTTTTTTCCAATTTTGTAAAGAATGGAAAGCGTTCTAATCGTGAATATTTATTTTTGTAGTTTCTTTTTTTTTGGATTATTTATAAAACACCCTCAGTCTTATTTTTAAAAAAAAAATCCATTTTTTTGTTACTTTTTTAACCTCATCGATGTCCTTTTATTTAATTTTACTTTAAATATATTTTACCTTTTATTGTATTTTTTATTTTTTAACAATTTTTTTTTTGCTATAGTACTCAGCCCTACTCGAGACGAGTTGCACTGAGGGGAGTATTCGGCTAAGGCATGGGCCGAGTAATCGGCCCGAGCTGTGGTTTCAAACATTAGTCAAACTTATTAAGTAAAAATAAGAATAAAATTGCTTGTTTTTGTCCCCATTATTGGGTAATTAGATATACTCTTCCCCCATTTTGCTTTTTCTCTCTAAAATAAGTTGGAAACCCACTCGTTATATTTCCTTTAAACAAACAAACATAATAGATCCAATAAAAAAGCAAAACCCCGAACCAATCGTTGTCGGGATCAGATCGGCCACCAAATCCGTGAGGTTTTTGATTTATTCAAAACCGGTCCTGATTGAACAAGTTGGACCAATTAAAAAAAAAAAATTTATATAATAGCATAAAAATATAAAATACATTAAAAATTGTCTCAACTTTATTTAAATGATATTAAAACCAATACAACCAAAACTAATCAAATCAATAATTTTATTTGTTTTCGATCGAACTCAATTTTTACGTCTAACCCCTAATAGATAGTGGGACAGAAGTGACGCGTTGATAAGATAGATCGAACATAGATTCAACCCTCTCATTGAAAGTTGAGAAAAAGTAGAGTAAAGCAACCATAGAAACTTCAGAGGAGGAGTCACCGTACATACAATACCCAACATATTTGAAAGCATCGCAATCGCCAATACTTCGATACCAATTGTGAATGGTCATTAGCTGTCTTCTTCTTCTTCTTGGAAATTGACGGTGAGGATGAGATCTGGGGCACTCGAAGAGGAAAGTTGGTTAGTAAATAATTAATATCTCTGATTTTGTGGTTTGCTTTGGAGCGAGTAAATCAATGATGATTTGTTCGACAATTAAGTATTAGTAACTTAATTTTAAGAGATTTAATATGTGTTTATAAAGAAAGGCAACACCCTTTGTAGTGAGGAGAGATTGTCGACATTCTTTTTTATGGGGTAAATAATTGTCGACATTCTTCCCTTAATAGACCTCTCTCTCCTCACTTAATCCGGTTTAATACAAAAATTAAGAAGCTTGTTTTTCAGTTAGAATGACAACATCATGTCCTCACTTTCTAAAACGGTTTTTGATAAGCATGGAATTCATGACCTATAAATTAAGTAGGCTTAATTCTCTGCAATCACTTTCTCTCTCTAGGAGTGCAAACACTTTCTCTTTCTTCTGGTCCCACCTCTCAGTATTGGGACCCTGTCTCTATAAGGAAGTCTTGGGACTCTCTCTAAGTCAGGCAGGCAGGCGGGCTGGCTGCATTCCTGTGAAAGCTTTACAATTGAATCTGTTGTTTATTTCTCTCTCTCTCTCTCTCTCTCTAAAAGATGAAATCGTCCACTCTTCTCAACTTGTTCCTCCTCTCTCTCTTCCTGCTGCCCCTTCTCGGCTATGCTCAACAGGGGGACTCGTGCTCTTCTGAAGAAACTGACGTCGACAAGGCCAAAGCCCTGAGCCTCAAGCTCGCGGCAATCGGATGCATCCTCTTTGCTGGAGCGGTCGGAGTTTGCCTTCCTATTGTTGGGCGATCGATCCCGGCCCTCCAACCCGAACGCAACGCGTTCTTCGTGATTAAAGCTTTTGCAGCCGGTGTCATCTTAGCTACCGGAATGATTCATGTTCTCCCGGATGCTTTCGATAAACTAGGCAATGCCTGCTTGAATGAGGACCCATGGGGAAAGTTCCCTTTCGCCGGTTTCGTGGCCATGCTTTCGGCCATTGGAACACTTGTTGTGGACTCTTTGGCCACTGGTTATTATCAAAGGATTCATTTTAAGAAGCCACCAGTTGCATCTAATGGTGAAGATGCGGAGAGGAATGAGGCGCATGATGGTCATGTTCATGTGCATACACATGGGACTCATGGACATACACATGGTGCAGTTGAGCTTGCTGGGGCTGAGACCCTTAGGCATAGGGTCATCTCTCAGGTGAGAATTTCAAGCTTTCACAATTAGACTGTTAATAATGATACAGCAAGGTAACAATCAATCTTGTCCCTTAGATATGAAATCCGATAGCTTGGAAATGACGTTTGGTGGTGCTTGTATGGTGATGACCCTCCTGACCACAGCTTTTATGTGGTCTCAACGATTATACTTCTTAAATATTTCATGTTGTTCCCTGTTTTCCTCTTTTCTGAATTTTAAAAATGGTAAATCTATCAATGGTACGATTAGAATTACAGAAAGTCAATTTTTTATTTTGAGACAAAATTATTGTAGATTTGTAGTGAACCCACAACTTCAATAAGCTTTGTGAAGGGTAAGACCCTCTATTTCAATGGTAAATCTTTCTTTAATTTACAGGATATGTGTCTTCAAATTTTTTTGCCAATTAAATATAATTTGTTGAGAGTATTTTTGGGGTTTGGTTATTCATTAGCGGATTTTTTCAGGTTTTGGAGTTGGGTATTATAGTTCATTCAGTGATTATTGGAATATCACTTGGAGCATCAGAAAGTCCAAGCACAATAAGGCCTTTGGTAGCTGCTCTGAGCTTTCATCAATTTTTTGAAGGAATGGGATTGGGAGGTTGTATTGTTCAGGTAAATTAATTGAGAATTCTTATTGTGATTTTATTTTATGGGATTATATACTATGAGACCATTTATTTTTTTCGGTCACAAGTGCTTTCTAGTCGTTTGATTTCAAATTGGATGGATTGGGGTGTCTTTCGAAATTCGAAATTTTTTTTATTGAAATTTAAGTGAATCAATGAAACTTCTGCAACCACTCAATTTAAAATATGAAGTTAAAGTGTTATTGTAACCTTCTTATATCAAAAGTGGACGATATCTTTGTATACTTTTTTTTATTTTCTTATATTAATTTTGGAATTTATTCTCTATAGACTTCAAATTATTGTTAGTAGTAAATGTTCCAAATTATTGGTTATCAGATTTATTTTATTTTTTTATTGCAAGTTGGGAGTCAGAGGAGTTGACTCCAATTTATTGCTGCCCTTGCAACCAAACTCCCATTTATTTGTTATAGTTGTAAATACTAAGTGAAAATTATTTGTTTATAGTTGAGAAATTTTTACTGATGAAAATCTTATTGAAATTAAAATATTAAAAAATCACATGGACAATCAACATTGCACAAATCTAAATTCAACATGCCTATTCTCATATTTCAACTTGGATATAAACAATAACAATTCAAAAATTCATAAATCAGATGGAACAACAGTCTTGTCCATGTTAAGTAGTTGGTAACTATTCTGTTTCTAAATAATTGGATGTTTCTTTCCTTTTCTGGATACTGCTTTTCAATTTAAAATCTTGAATAAATTTCGAAGGACCCATTCCTAACGCTCCACCTTCTATAGAAACTCCAATTTGTTTATTTATAATTGCCAATACTAAATCTTGAATAAATTTTCCTGCTGAAAATCTTATTAATCTTAAAATATTAAGAAATTACATAGACAAATCAGATTCTACAAATCCAAATTCAAGTTATTTATTCTCATAGTTGAACTTGAAATAAACAATAACAGTGCAAAAATTTATAAATCACTTGGAACAACTGCCAGAGTCCATGTTAAGTAGTTGCAACTATTCTCTTTCTAAATAATTGGTGAGAAATACATATTTTAATAATAAAAACAGAGAATTACGTATTTGATTGGCCCATCCCTAAGTAAGAATGCCCCTACTCCTCTCATGTGATTTGCTTGACCCAAATGCAAGGACTGATCCTGAAGGTAGAAAGACTTGTTAATCACGCTAAATAAGAACCCAATTGAATGAACTGCTACTTTTGGTACAAAGACGACATGATCACACTTAGCCGTACAATGTCAAACCTGACAGCTTAGGGGTTGTCACAATGTTTAATAAATTTATGCTGAATTTTGAGTATGGTAAATGGCACACTCAGCAATTTAAAATCCAGATACCAAAAATAATTGTGACCTCATTGTTTCAAAGGTAAATAGTCTTAACTGTCTACTTCTCCAAAAGATGAATATCCTATTCTCATTTCCTTTTCTCGCTGTAGGCAAAGTTTAAGAGCAGAGCTACTGCATGTATGGCCCTCTTCTTCGCGATTACAACTCCTGCTGGAATAGCAGTGGGCATAGGAATTGCATCAGTGTATAACGAAAACAGCCCTACAGCTCTCATAGTCGAAGGCTGCTTAAATGCGGCATCTGCAGGAATTCTAATTTATATGTCACTTGTGGATCTCTTAGCGGCCGATTTCATGAATCCGAAAATGCAGAGCAATGGAAAACTTCAGATATGGGCAAATGTTTCGCTTCTTTTTGGAGCTGGAGCTATGTCTCTCATGGCAAAGTGGGCATAACGACATGCTAAAGCCGGAAAGCCCTAGTCATATGGGTAAATTTTGGATAAATTTTGTCTATGGTTTAATAAGATGGAAAGAAAGAAACCACTTGAGCAAGCATAGATAAGGATCAATTCTTGGGATCAGAAGTCATTCTCTTCTTCTAAATTCTGACCATGAACTTGTGGGATCTTTCCATCCAAAATTACCCCAATGTATATTTTCTCTTTTTTCTTAAGAGCATAAGTACAGATTGGTAGTTTTTCTAAACTCTGAGCAAATTCTAGTTCTTGTTGTGCCCCATATATATGGTGGGATTTTTTTAAAGTTTCCTTGCAGGCCTGGAGATGTTGGAAAGTTCATTGGATATGTTGTTATGGAAAGGATAAATGAAATTGGATTTCGTTGCACTTGTGATGCAATATCTATAATATCCACAAACCATATATTTTGTTCCTTGAAATATCTTTGCCCATTCCCTATGAATGTAGTTCATTTTTTCAAGTGAACTACGTAAAAAACTTGGCATCTGCCTTAATTTGTTCTTGTATTGTACTGGTTTTATTCCCATTTTTACTTGTTCATTCTATATCTCTCAAATTTATTACACAAACTGACATTTGAAGCATTGGGTTTGTTGTAGTTTGAGCAGGACATCAAGTTCTTTTCCAAAGACATCAAAGTTGTCTAAAATTTTTTAAAGCAAACTACTTATTCCATTATTTTATAGAGAAATATTCAATGTAGACCACATTTTGTCAGCAAGGCAACTTAGTTCTTGACATGCAAGCAGCAGTTGAGCTTTCCTGTTTGATTTCTTTCTGTTAACAACCGCTATGGCTCCCTAATATTTCCCCCTCCCCAATTTCAGAACCTTTTATATTAATGGGTTTTGGAGTCGGTTCTTATTATGACACTTTTTTTAGTTTTATTTTGAAGTGTAAATTACAGCAGCATTCTACATGAACATGAAACCATGTAACCATATTCCATAATAATGCATATTTGCAAAGTTCAAGTCTGATGAAAAATTAAAATGGATTGTATACACGGCCAGTTAAATTTTTTCGGTGGATTACCCAATTTACCATTTATCTTTTGTCGGATGAAAAATTAAAATGGATTTCGGATGAAAAATTAAAATGGATTGCCTACAAAGAGATTATTTATCTTTTGCATGGACTTTTTCTCTTTTCAAACAGCATATCCCATTCTGTTAATCAAATAGGCTGCACTCATTATTGCTTCTGACCAATAAATTTTCGAAACATTCATATCCCGAGTGCACGATTAACCTCTAACATATGCCTCTTTTTCCATTCTGCTAGGTCTGTAAAGACACGTGTATTGATAAATAATGCCCTTTGTCCCTAAGAAGGAATAAAGATCTTTAGAGCCCACCATTTTTAGATCTAAGAATTGAAATGGACTTTTTCAATTAGGTTTTTTTTTTGTATACAAGGATTGGAGGTCATAATCATCCCTACTCATTAGATGTCAAGTTGAATGGCTTAGAGTGAGTCACGAAGTATGAGAATATATATATATATATATATTCTTTTATAAGAGTGAGGATTATATTTTTTTATGGTCAAGAGACCAACTTGCTTGTAGACCATCACGTATACCAAATGGTTTTTCTCCACTCTAATCTTTTCCATTTTTTTTCTTAGCTTTGTTTGAGCTATGAGTTGGCTCTTCAAGAGTTTTATAATTTAGCTTTACGCTCCTTTTATGGGTGACATACGGAAGGATATTATAGAGGAAAAGTATATAAACAGACTATTTCGTTTTAGCATAAGGAATTTACAATTACTTTTGTCCATCATATTTTAAATCAGGTGGTCGTAAGTGTGTCATTGACTAGACTCAAATCCAAAAACAATTTTTCAATCTTTGTGACAACTCAAGCAATAGAATTTGATATCAAATAGCTAGGAGTTGTTGTGACCTCCTTTTGACAATAATAAATGGTCTCATAATATACAATCTCTATTACAAATGCCGAGCTTCATTATGGCCCTCCAAGACATGTCATCGCATGTGTACCCTAAGTCCTTCCTTCTAAAGAAACCCCCAATTCCTATCTTTTGAGAAGTGTTTTTATTTTTTAAAAATCTCTCTCTCTCTCTCTATC